TTTGTTTTCTTGATATTGAGCCTCAATCCATATTGAAGGCTGCAGTTCTTGACCTTCTGCAGCAAGCACTTCAGGTCTTCCTCAGTTTCAGCAAGCAGGGTTGTGTCATCTGCATAACGCAGATTGTTGATGAATTTCTGAAAACCCTGTATACACACTTGGCCTAACAGATAGGGCAACTGAGGTGTAGCTCTCAAGTCTAGAAATACAAAGGAAGAAGAACAGTTGTAAGCAGACACTAGTGATTGGAACATGGAATGTGAGAAACATGAATGTAGGAAAAATTAGATATTGTTAAGGAAGAAATGGAATGCATAAATATTGACATACTAGGTAATGCCAAGATGAGATGGACTGGCATGGGGCATTTTGAGTCAGACGATCATCTGATCTATTACACCAGAGACGAAAAGGTGAATAAATATGGGGTTGCTCTCATAGTTAAAAAAAGTCATTTCTGGATATGTCTTGAAATACAATATTGTGAGTAACAGGATAATATCCATATGCATACAAGGAAGTCCAGTGAATACCACTATCATTCAGATATATGCACCAACAACCAGAGCCAAAGAAGAGGAAATAGATTTCTACCCACTTTTATAGTCAGAGATCGATCAAACATTCGATCAAAATGCATTAATAATAATGGGTGACTGGAATGCAAAAGTTGGGAACAGAGAAGAAGGATTAGTAGTTGGAAAGCATAGACTTGGTAACAGAAATGAGGCTGGAAATAAAATGATAGAATTTTGTATAATCAACGATTTATTCATTGCAAATAGATTTTATAAGAAACATAAACACAGGTTATACACATAGATTTCATCTGATGGTATACACAGGTATCAGATTGATTATATCCGTGGAAAGAACTGCTGGAAAAACTTCACTATCAGCTGTGAAAACTAGGCTAGGTGCTGACTGTGGAACAGACCATTGTTCATAGAGTCCTCATAAGTTTGATGGCACTTAACAACAGACTCTAGCAACAATACTGAGTACGAGTGGTTCATTTTCCTTTGAATGTTTTCAAGGAATACCCTCTATTTAGCCATATTTCCATTCTGCAAGGATTTCAAGTTAAGGGAAACAAAGATATGCACCTTGAATAGCCTTTCAGAGAACCTCCAGTTAGGTCAAAACAACAACAACAAAACAAAACCAACTATCCAACACAGTTTTTTGAGAATAAAGTGTACTCTGCTTTCTCTGGAACTGGGCATTCATCCTGGGAATGTGTCCTGCCATCTTCAAGACCACCACTATGCCAGGAAGGGTTTTGACACAAGATTAAGTTAAAATACCAAAAAGCTCTCCTACTATGTTTAAATCTCCTTTTTCTTGTTTTAGTGGTCTCTTGTTTGTTTGCAAACCTTTAACTCTTAAAATTCTGACCAAGTTCATTCTGTCAGTTTGGTGGGTTTGGGATGGTTGTTTTTTTGGTTTTGGGGGGGTTTTTGT